AATAAGCATTATTGTATGAGCAGGCGTTCGTTTGGTGTGCGTTTAAACTGACGAATTTGCTGTCAGAGAGGTTCTTCTTGTTCCCTTTGTCCACCTTGTCCATCTAGAAGAGCAGCTACTTCTATCACTTACTTTTTTTTTCTTTTCTTTTCTTTTCCTTCCTCCTCTTCTTTTTTTCTTCTTTTTTTTGCCTTTTTTTCCTTCTTCTTCTTTTCAAAATTCTTTTTTTCTAGATCTTCTTTTCCTTTTTCTTTTTTAGGTTAATACCATTTGTCCTTAGCTCCTCATAGAACTGATATTTTGGCATCTACATAGAGTATGTTTTAGGAAAGCAGGAAGGTAAAGAACATCTTTAGCAGGTATGGCGGGACGATGGTGAGAAAGAGCGAGCGATATTTAACTTTTGCTGGTTTTGGTTTATTAGAAGTGATAGGATCTTGTTAGTGTAGACAGCAAGTGGGGAGAAGGCTACACTGATATTTGCACAGAACCATAATTATGTAGTTATTTAGATGCCTACTGTCTGGGCTGATGCCTGTGATTCAGATTTGTTTAGATGGTATACTGTCTCCAGTCATAATCTTTTATTGATTGACTTATTGATTTATTTATTTAACAATAATAGGAAAAAAACCCTACACTTATATTTGTTTTCCCATGAGTTTAAATCCTTGAGGCAAAAGCATGGGCTTGTGTGTCCAATGGCCCCACCAGGAAGGTTGCTTGGAATTTGGCATGAACCATGCCACTGTTTCCATGATACGAATTACCTTTCCTCAGATAATTTTTGGTTTTGTTGGTGTGCCATCAGGGGTCAGCCTTTTCTTTTGCACACACTTAACACTCTCCTGCCTTAGAGAGAATTCCAGTTTCACCTCTAGTGTGATATTTGTTTTAAGAAGAGCTGTAAGCCCAGGGACTTGCTGAGAAGCCAATAGAGCCTTGGACTACAGTGTTCCAGACATACTTGTCATTTTAGAAGCCTGTCTAAAGCAGGGCCTGACAGGTTCAAGATAGCCCCAATCTTATTTTAAAATGTTAACTTTTGGGGGGCACCTTTCTGGCTCCTAGCTGGTTAAGTATGCAACTCTTGGTATTGGCTCAGGTCATGATTAGGATCAAACCCCATGTTGGGCTTTTGCAATCACATCATGGAGCCTGCTTGGGAATTCTCTCTCCTCTCTCTGCTCCTATGTTATTTCATTATTTTGTGTGCTCTCTTTCTCAAATAAATGAACAAACCTTAAGATAAAATGTTAACTTTGTAGATTGGAGAAAGATACACTGGGGGATGAGATGCAGCAGAGACAGTGAAGGCCACTCGGGGACAGGGTGTTGGTGAAGAAAAGAAAGACATTGCCAAAATAAAAAAATATATATGTGTATGAAAGTAGCAAGAGAGTATGTGTAATATAAAATTATGAATATATAATTTTTATGTAAAACTGACAGGAACAATGACCCAAAGGAAAATGTGACAGAGATTCAGTGGAATTCTTGGAGACTCAGTATGGGGTCTTCACATGGCTATTGTGTGACCTTGGGTGAGTTACTCCATCTCCCAAAGCCAGTTTTCATCTAGAAAAAATGAGGCAACAACAGTACCTACCTTACGGAGTTGTGTGTATGGCATGAGTTTCTGTATGTGAGTCACCCAGAATGCTGCCTGATGTAAAAGTGAGCCTGTAGGCACTAGGCCCGATGAAAACGCCCCACTGGCAAGGTATAAGCTTTCAGGAGAGGGCACTGCACCTCAGTTCACTTGAAGTTCTTACTATCTTAAATGTTAATTTATTTTCTTGGTTTTTCTGATCTTAGTCTGGTGTGCTTATGTCTTGTTCCCTGTAGGATCGCTTCTTGTATTTTTTTTTTTTGAACTTTATTTATTTGAGAGAGTAAGTACAAGAGCATAAATGGGAGGGTTTACACAGAGACAGGGAGGAGAGAGAACCCCGTTAGTAACTTGTAGTGGGGGCTCAAAACTCATGAACTATGAGATCATGACTCTGATTTCAATCAAGAGTCAGATGGATCACAATGGACTGAGCCACCCAGGCACTCTAGCTTGTATTTTTGAAGTGCACTATCAAAGATGCCAAGTTTCCTTAATATTTCATGCTGAATTTCAAAATCATTTGCAAAAGTGTAGTGTTTTTTTTTTTCCCCCTGAGTATCTCTCATACTTATTCTTTTACAAACTGTAAGGTCTTTTTCCCATAGGTTGTTCCTAGGTTTATTTATTTTGTCTTCCTCAGTTATCCAAAGAAGGTAATAATTTCAAGAAGTTTTCAAGATGAATATCAAAATTAGTAGTTAATTGGAAGAAAAGTTGAGGTGGGAATTATGAAAATGTATAAAGTAATCATTTTGTACTAACTTAAATCAAATATATTGTGTTCATACTAATCTTTAATTCCTGACTCTGGCTCTTTTTTCTGAATTCTGTTGATGTGGGTACTCATATTTGTCTTGCTTTTGCACCTCGTGTTCCCTATCTGCACGCTTCATTTCTTCAAAGGAAATGGAACTTAAAAATTTTTTTTTCAACGCTTTTATTTATTTTTGGGACAGAGAGCAGAGCATGAACGGGAGGGCAGAGAGAGGGAGATACAGAATCGAACAGGCTCCAGGCTCTGGAGCCATCGGCTCCAGAGTTCGGCTCTCTAACTCACGGACCGCCGAGATCGTTCGCTGAAGTCGACGCGAAAGAACCGGACAGCCACCCAGGCCTCGGAATGGAACTTAAAAGATACCATGGAATAAACTCAGGGTGAATCCTCTAAAGTTCTTTATAGTTGTTTCCTTCTGTCTCCCACACTTAAGCCACAACAAGTTCAAATCATTGAATTTAGGTATGATAGGGTAAACAAAGTTACATTTTTGTGTTCCTTATTTTATTGGTTTTACATCATTTACTCATAAATGTAATCATAATAACAAGTGCAATTTTGTCAAACAGGGTTTGGAATAACCACACTGAAACTTGTATTGATTCAGTTAGTAACAAAGTGAGCTGAGGGTCCCAAAGGTTGCTAAAGTAGTCATGGATGTTCCTGTCATATAAGTATTGGGCAAAAGTGGTTTACAGATGGGAAGCATCAGTGAATCTCAAGTTATTGAAGCTGCTAAGAGAGTTTCAGTAGTATATCAAATCTAGGCATACATCAGAATTGTCCGATTGTATGGTAAAACACAGATTGGTGGTAAATCCAGAGTTTCTGGTTTGGGGTGATGGGTAGGGATTTGTATTTGTAACAAGCTGACAGGTAATGCTACCTCTGGATGGTCCAGGGAACACGCCTCTGAGAACCTGGATTACGGGGCCAGTTTTAGTGTATGTGATGGTAGAGAGGTCTTCAAAGATCAGCACGATAAGGTAGAAGGCCAGGTGTTACCTTTCCATCTGTCTACCTACCCACTTTCTAGTGGAGACACTGTGTTTTCTGTGTTTGTGTGTTCTTGGTATTGCATTGAAATTTTATTTTTCTTGTGTCTACCCAGAAACTTTATGTGGAATTTGGGAAGAATACAATGAGGGCTTTTAAAGTCTTCATGTTTGTTGTTTTTTGCTTCCCTGAAAAATAATAAACTACTGCTATTTTTTTAACCTTGCTGGGCATGCTATGCTCAACTGACAAGTTCCCCCAGTCTCCCTTTGCAGGAAAAAAAAAATTGCCCTTGTCAGAAACGTAGTTTACAATAAACAGTTTACGCTGCAGGGCTGAAAGACAGCGATGTGGGTGTGTTGTCAGCAAGCTGAAGACTCTGTCTAAGAGACAGATTATCTGATTGCCCGTAATCTCCTTTTCGAACTGGCTGACGGAGTTGGAGATCTTTGGTTATAATCTTTCAGCGCTATCCATGACTATGCACACCGGAACCACCAACAATTTCCACATTCCGGTGGAGGATGTTGAATATTGGGAGAAGAGTGTGATAGTGGTGGACCGAAAGAATGAGAAGTCAGAAAGGTGTTAGTCATCTTTTCGGCATGGCTGTCACCTATGCTGAAAAAAATCAACTTTTCAACAAGATATCAGCCTGGTCAATCTTGACCAAGATTTTAGAATTCTGGAGAAGCTTCATCTGCCCCAATTTATTTTCATTCACACCGCTATGGATATCCTTTTCTTCTCTATTCTGATGCTAGTTTAAGTTTACTTCTATATACAGGACCATGCACATACCATTTCTACTAGGTATGCAGAACAAAGTTCACACATAAAGGTGAAGATGCCAGTAGACTAAAATCAGCGAAAGCATGGGGCCAGG